CAACAATCTTCCTTTCTTTTTTGGCGGCCTGAGTGACCCAGGGGTTGGTGCTTTTGCACATATGTACACGCAACATCCGGGCTGTGTTTCGGATCCTGGACAAGGCAGTGGAGTTGTGTATTGTGGATTGGTAGTAAATATTCAACCATCATGTAACACCCTTTAATCTCATTTCTTACTCATACCACTTTTAGATTTTCTCTACCATCTCAGCTCAAAGGCGCAGCATAAAAATGTCTCACTAGTAAAGAAGAAAATTTTTTTGACGGTATGAAACTTGTGAACCTACTGTAAAAGAAAAGACTGAAGCAAAAGTTAATAATGGATTCTTTTGAATAAAGATATTGCTTTGAAACTTGTTTGTATTAATAAATAAAATAATAAATATTTCGTTTAAATTGTAAACTTGAATATTTTGAACTTTGTCTACTTAACACTTAATTCAAGTTTTTAGTCTTCAAAACCATACTTATGTAATAGAAAATGTACAGACGTTCGAATATTGACCCATAACTTGACCCAGGATACTCGTAACTGGTTTTGAGTATGTATTTCCTTTAATATTTTACCTGGTTTAGAGTGCAGTCTTGTCTCGATATTGGTGATCTAAGGGTCGATTATATGTTTATCTAAGGGTCGATTTAAAAAAAATATGTGGTCGGAAATGGGGTTTAACTTCTTTTACATACCACGCGCTTGACAACGCCTTGAAAAAAAAATTGAAAATCTATGAAAGGAACCCCTCATGGTAAATGCCCTACAAGCCCCGCAGGTCATTACATCGGCCTTGTTCCCCACCAAAGAGGCAACTTTTGCCCAAATAGGCTTAAGATGTTCCTCGAGGTTACAACGTGCTAGAGACTGACGGAAACGGACCTATGTGCCACCTCCAACAACCGAAAAGGTAAGGACTCTGACCCGAAGTATGAAAAAAACGAGATAAAGGAATATTTCTGATGTGGCAGAATGAACAGGTTACTCAGAGATCAGGAATGACAAAGATCCGACGTGATAAAAAAGAAGCATACATAAGTTCAATACAATTCTGGCAAGAAAATGTGAGTTGAGACAAGTCGTACGATCTGCTTTGACGTCCGCTCATGAACTCCTCCATTTAGATCCTGTGCGCGAAAAATTACTACACAGTTGCGCGTGAGTAGTTAACAGTAAAAAATCACACGGCTGTCGAGAAGACTTTGTGGATAACCTCAGTATTGTTCTCTGTGGTGAACTTCTTGTAAAATAATCTTTGAGCTTTTGGAGAAAGGGAAGACTTTAAAGCAGGTACTGAAAACATGATTCCCCATGCGGTATACAAACTCAAGTTGTGAAGTTCAAGAGATGATTTCTATTTAATAATTCTTATACACTGTGCGAACGTTTTTAACTAATTACCAAAAGGTCGGTATAGAAACACAGTTTTTCAAACCACACGTGTAAATATTGGACAAGAGTTTATTTTTGTATTCAAAGGTATTGAGGAACTCAGGATACAAATAACGAAATACGAATGAGAGATGGTATTATTATTATTATTATTATTATTATTATTAGTATTAGTATTATTACTATTATTATTAGTATTATTAGTATTAGTATTAGTATTGTTATGTCTTTGATGCTGCCAAGGGTCAGAACGTAAGGCCTGATCTTGTATGTGGTATGTGGAACCAGCACTAATTTATAAGTTTATGGTGCGGCGGTGGGGCAGTTCAGAGGTGCAGGGTGTTGGTGGTGGTAGCCGCTTGGGCAGGCGGTCTCCGCGGACGCCCACCGCCGCCGCCGCCGCCGCCGCC